ATTCTGAGCAACAGCGGTGTCCTGGCACCAATCAACACCTTGCAAGTGAAAGATTCTGATAAGAATGAGAGTGACAACTGCTAGGTGACATATTCACATGCTGTTTTAGTGAGATGCTACCAGCACAAGGTCAAAATGGGCAAACCGAGCACTTGGCCCAACAGCCAAGTGATCCACAGACAAAGAGAGAGAAATTTCCCACCTGCATTACAACATTGATATTCAATTTTCTTTCCAGGCTATTGAGATGAGTTTTCAAACAAGACTGGGAACACCACCTATTTCTTGCCTCCAAAAACATCATGCAGGGCTAGGGGGCTTCTAAAGGGGAAAAATGACAGAAACAGACATGTGGCAGTTTCCTTTGCACTTTGCTAGTGAATTCTCTCTGCTGAGTAATTGAGGCTGGGCCTTAGGGAAGGAGAAAGAGTTGTACTCCCAGGAGATCTCAGTCACAGTTTCCCATCAGTGTTCTTCAGCACTTCCTGTCTCTTTTTCTTATGATTTCCCTATGACAGTGGTTAAGACCTGACCGCCTTTCAGCTCTCTCCCTTCTCTTTTACATCAAAGCTAGGAGCAGAAATGCCTGCAGGAGCCTGGCGGCAACAGCACAGATAAAAGAAGACTCTGGAGACTTGAGGCCCACTTCCCTCCAGCTGATAAATGCTGCTGGAAATGTCTGCCAAGTCACGTCACTACTGCCGAGTTTTTGAAAGAATTAGGAGTTGCTGGGTGGTGCAAACGGTAAATGCACTCAGCTGCTAACCAAAAAGATCGGGTCTACCCGGAGGTGACTTGGAAGAAAGGCCTGGAGATCTACTTCCAAAAAGTCAGCCAGTGAAAATCCTATGGCGCACAGTTCACTGACACACCTGGGGTCACCATGAGTTGGAGTTCACTGGATGGCAACTGTTTTAATTTTAATGGAACTGCCTGATTTTAAATGTCAGCTTTTGTGATAAACATCCAGGGCTAACCAAGATGTTTTCATCTGGGTGGTATCTGTCTGTAGGATCCCATGATCACAGCAAAGGCTAAAGGGCAGGGGGTGGGCCGGTTTGGTGATGTGCTCCAGAAGTAGTTTCTTAAGAGCTAGCCTACAGACCAATCACCCTGCCCTCCCACAGACCTTGCAAGCACTTAATTCCCTCTCCCGAATCCCTTTCTGCTTAAAACAATTTCTTATTAAGATAGGAAACTGCAACTTGAAGATGAAATGCAAAAGAAGGTCTATTTAAAACAGTTTCCTTCAAAGAGAAAAGGAAAAATATCACAGGTATGTTCTTCCCTATTCAAACATATATGATATCAGTTGTTGCCATGTACCGTTGAGTCAATTCTGACTAACAGAGCCCCTGGAGGACAGGGTAGAACTGCCCCATAGGGTTCCCAAGGCTGTGATCTTATGGGAGCAGATCACCAGGTCTTTCTTTTGTGGAGCTACTGGTGGGTTGGCGCCGCTGATGGGTTGGACTTTCAGTTAGTAGCTGAGTGTATAACCACTGCATCACCAGGGTTCCTTATGACACCAGTATCAACATAAATAAAAGTACCAGGAATTTTAACAGCCCTGGGAGTAGGCAATGGTTGCCCCCAGACTGGCCAAGAGGGACTAGGAGTCAGCAGGGGTCAGTGCCATACCCTGGGAGACCCTTAAGAATACCCAAGACTTTAATACCTTCTAGCCAACCAGCCACTCCTTGGAAAAAATTTAGGCAATCTACTTCTGTAGTGATACCACCTCTGAAACCCAAGGAGGGGTCACTATAAGTTGGGTCTGACTTGACAGCATGTAACAACAACAGCAGCCAAGAGATGGATACTTAGTAAGAAACTCAAAAGCCCCAAAATCCAAACCCTTTTATTTCTATCCTGAATATTTCAGAAAATAATTTAATACTACATCCAAACCAATGTGCCCTGATAATTAGGATAGCAGGAAATAGCAGCAGGTAAGAAACCACCATATAGCTTCAAGGAGGGTTGTTTAGACCTTGCTAAATGCTTCCTGTGACCTTTCACCTATCTCTTCCCCCCATTTCATTTATTATAGTGAAAACATACACCCTAAAACATCTGCCAACACAACTTCCACATTTACAACTCAAGACATTGTTACATTTTTCATGTTGTGCCACCATTTTCACTGTCCTCATCCCAAACCAGCTGTTGTTTCAGCTGCTCCCTATACTTAAGAGCAAAGAAGCTGACAGAGACGGATTGTTCAGCTTCACCACACAGACAGAAAAAAGTTGTTGGTGGATTAATTTGTCTACGTAACAAACCTGAACATTCAAGATACATGATAAGCCAGTTCAAATTTCTCTAATATAAGATAGCGAACCAAGTCTGGTAGCATAGCAGATAAAGCATATGGCTGCTAACCAAAAGGTCTGCAGTTTGGACCCACCAGCCACTCCATGGGAGAAAGATGTGGCAGTCTGCTTCAGTAAAGATTTTCAGCACTGGAAACCCTACGGGCAGTTCTACTTTGTCCTCTAGGGGCGCTATGAGTCAGAAAACACTGTGGCAGTGGGTTTGGTTTGGTTTTAACCAAGTTAAGTGACTTTTACCTTCAGTTGAGTTGGATAATTTATAATGGAGGGTGACTAGTTAGTTCCTGGGGCAGAGCCATCCAAATAGAGGCCCAGCAAACACTTGAGATTCATCTCCCCATTTTCCCCATTTTTCCAGACCTAGAGTGGCTGCCTAAACAGCTAACCTACCTACTCTCTCTATTTCTCTCTCTTTTTTCTTTAATAATTTCCATTTTATTTTATTTCAGGTGAGTTTTTATTCAGCCTGTAAGGACTCAAATCCTTGCATGGACTTTGATGGAGGCTGTGGGGCAGCACCTGCAGATCTAAGTCAGGGTGGGGTTATCCTGTCCTTCTGGCCTTCAGGAGAACGGGTCCTGACCACCTTGCTGTGCATGGCACAACTCTCATAGTAATGCAGTTGACGCACAGCTTGGGAAGCACGTACGTGTTGAAGACACTCACTTCAGAAATGTCCCTGAAGGCTGGCTGTGGCCTCTACTATGTTTTGAATTATGAACTTCTTAATCGCCTTGTCTTTGGGCATACTGCATGGAAGCAAGGACCCAAGAGCTCCCTACCTAGTCTTGTGTGTCTAGTCGAGAGAGAAAAGAACAGCCACAGAAAGAAGGGTTACTACTACAGCTCCAACTGCCAACCTTAAACTAAGGATCAGCCAGGCGAGAATTGATAGATATGCATATATTAAAAATGAATAGTCATCATATGGATTCTTCTTTCTGAAAGCCAACTAAGCTACAAGCCTGAAGGTGGGAAATGACCCACAATAGGAAGAAACTGCATAAATCTGATTCCAAGAAGAACAAGCTCAACCTTTAATAGGTAATACTGACCACCTACCCTTGTTAGTGTCTGTCCATTTACATATGCTAGTTATAATACTGCACACATAAAAACAGAAAATAAAACAATGCTGTGGTATTTTTGTAAAGCTCACACTCTCTAGCAGCAGAATCAAAGTTAGTGAGCAGTTCATTTAAAAAGGGAAAAATACCTAATAGATAAGAAATTCCAGCCACTCCTCAGAAGGAAGGTTGGGCACTCTACTTCCGTAGTGATACTGCCTCGGAAACCCAAGGAGGGATCACTATGAGTCAGATCCAACTCGATGGCAGTGCGTTGCACTGTGTTACCCTACTTAATGTAAACTCACATTAAGTGTTTGAGAGTCACTGTATTGGTTTGCTACTGCTGCTATAACAGATGAGCACAAATGCAGTGGCTTAAAAGAATACAAATGCATTCTCTTATGTTCTGGAGGTCAGAGGTCCTACCATCCAGGTGTTCACAGGGCTGCTCTCCTTTGTGGAGATTCTAGGGGAGAACGTTTCTTTCCATATTCCAGTTTCTAGAGTCCCTGGGCAGTGCAAACGGTTAAGCACTTGACTACAAGCCAAAGGGTTGGTGGTTTGAAAGTACCCAGAGGTGCCTCAGAAGAAAATCCTGGCAATCTGCTTCTGCAAGGTCACAGCCTTGGAAATCTACCATTCTACTCTGCATACATGTGGTCACCAGGAGTCATAATTGACTCAGCGGCAACTGGTATGATGGCACAGAGTCCACCTGCATTCCCTGGTTTATTGCCCCTTCATTTTCAAAGCCAGCAGCATAGCATCTTCAAATCTCTCTGTTTCTCTCTGATCTCTGCTCCCCCATCACATGTCTTTCTTTGACTTTGACTTTCCTGTTTCCCACTTATAAACCTCTGTGTGATAATCTTGTTGTCGTCTGGGGCTGTCAGCTGATTTTGACCAAGAACAGCTCCGTGTGACAGAATAGAACTTCCCAGACGGTTTCCTTGGCTATAATCTTTACAAAAGCCAATTGCCAGGTCTTTCTTTTGCAGAGTGGCTGGTGGGTTCAAACTACCAACCTTTTGATTTAGCAGTTTAGCATTTAACTGTTGCCACTAGGGCCCACCCAAATAATCCAGGATAATTTTCCCATCTCGAGATCCTTAACTTAGTCACTTCTGCAAAGTCCCTTTTGCCATATAATTAACATACTTATAGCCTCCAGGGCCTTTATTCTGCCTTCTACTGGAATTAAGGCCACTCACAGGAAAAGAAAACGTTAAAAGAGCTTTCCAGCTATCTGTACAATATTAGGGAGTAATGCTTGTTTTAAAATAATCCATTTACAAGAAATTACTAAAATGAAGATCCCAAAACTTTGTTGTCTTCTTCTTCAGAGTCGAGGGTAGAATTTCTCTAAGACACAGTGATTGACTGTGAAGGGAAACCACAAGGGGTGCCTCTAATGTACTTGTTGTCACAGTAAAAATCAAGCATGTTCTCTCTTTCTCTCTTACTTTCAAGGTAGGTGATGGGAACATTCTGATTGTCAGAGACAACATGTTCTCACTCTGAGACACTGGTTGAGGCATGACGTTAATGTGGCAACGGCCTGATGGGTAGGTAATCTGATTGCGCTAAGCATTACCTGTTTGAATAAAGCGTAGTCCTGTCATGCGGATAATGGTCATTGACGCACAAGGAAGAAGATGAAATTGTGGTTGCCAAGGAAGCAGCTTCGAACAGTGATGGGGTGCTGGGAACCAGGTCCGGGCGGTGTTGGGATCCCAGCGCTGGGTAAGGAAAGCAACACACACTTGTGAATCTCAGTATAAAGGCACCGTCAGTCTCCAGAGTAACTTATATGCGCCAAAAGCACTCACTTTAGATATCAGGCTGCAAATTAAATGATGAATTAACTGTGTCCTGAACCACTCAGACATGGAAAACAGCTTCTTGAAACAGGTTAGACAGCAATGAAATTGCACTAATTCACAAAATGGCTTATGGAAATGACATTACAAATGTTCTTTTAAAAACCTAATAGAGTGATTGACTAGTTCGAAAGACTACGGGGAACACTCCCCAGAGTTTAAGGAGATAATTAGGCAGAGATGAAAGGATGACTGGCAAGAAAGGAAACAAACACAGTGGACCTACTCACTCCTCCTGGTGACATGCACAAGTCCATGGTTTCCAGTTTAGATCAAAGAACCTGGAACCAGTAGGAGCCAGAAAACAAGTGCTGCACAGAGCAGCAGCCAGTGACACCATCACCCTGCTAGAGTCCCCACAAGTCTTTAATATTATCCCAGGTTCTTCTTGACATTATATTTTAACAGCAGGATTCTTCTTTAGAACCTCTGGGAACTCAGCCCAGGTAATACCTTGATTTCCACCTTTGAAATCCTGAGCAGAGCAGAGAACTCAAGTAAGCCATGCCCAAACTTCTGACCTACAGAGCTGTGAGCTAAAAGTGGATGTTATTTACAGCTACAGTGCCTAAGGCACTTGACTGCTAACCAGAAGCCTAGCGGTTCAAACCCCCCAGCCACTCCTCAGAAGGAAGGTTGGGCAATCTACTTCTGTTGTGATATCACCTCAGAAACCCAATGACTGGTCCCTATGAGTCAGGGCTGACTTGACAGCACATAACAACAACAACAACAACAAGCGTGTGGTAAGAGGCCTGGTAGCACAGCGCCTAAGGCTTTTGACTGCTATTATGTGGCAACAGAAAACAAACACAACCAAGAAATAACTGAAAACGCCAAGGAACAAATGGTTAAAAGTAGAGGGAAACTGGCAATAACTTGGTGCACCATGAAAGGCAAAGTATACCAGAACAGAGCACTAGGGAGAGGTGCATCCTTGTAGCAAACCTTGAACATGCAGAGAACTGTAAATTCATTTTTAAGTAATATGTTAGTTACATTCTCAAGGAATATGCCCAATAGGTTTTTCTTCAACCTTCAGATAAATTTTCAGGTGAAGTACCTCTAAATACAAAGCCACAGGTCTAATTGTTCATCAGAAAAGTATACAATTTAAGCACTACTTCCCACGTTTCCAAGAATTTTTGGATACTGTGTAGTATATCTAATATACTCATCCCCTTCCATTAACAATTAGGCCATTTCCTTAAGTTTAGAGATCATATTGAACATATCATTTGAAAATGTGACTGACACACAATTTAAAAATAAGTATATCCTATTTCCTGGACTGTACAGACCCTCATAGTCTTATGTGTTTGGCAGTCTCAACAAATCCAGAGGCACCTCAGAAGTAAGACTTGGTAATCTGCTTCTGAAAGGTTACAGCCTTGCAAACGCCATGAAGCAGTTCTATTCCACATGTACAGGGTCACTATGAGTCAGAACTAACTTGAAGGCAACTAATACCAACAACAACAATCAGAAAGTCAGGCAGATGGTAGGGGGCTTGCCAGTGCAGGGACAATTAAGGTAGCAGGAGAAAGTCTGCTAAAATAAGAGCCATCAACTTACCTCTGCCATCATATGAATGAGCAAAGAGAAGTTAAGGGGAATTCACTAACTCTTTGGCTGAAATCACTAAGTCTGGGTGAATGCTGGTTCACCAGAAGATGAGAAGGAAAGGAAGCCAACATGGCACACATGGATGAGTGCTACAAAAGGGAGCAGGTATAGTCAGTCGCCTATTCTAATGACTGAGAAGGAAACCTCTAGAGAAGATTTCCTGCAGAAACTAGAAAAGTTCAGGAAATGGTGAAGATCCTTAAGAGAATATACCAGTAGAAAAATCCAAAATGTCCCTTCTTCTTTTCATATTAAAAGGGAAAAACCAGATGATCCACTCAGTAGATAGAGAAAAGCATTAGATAAAATTTGATACTCATTCTTGATAAAATTGTTTTAGAAAATGAGGAATAAAAAGGAGGTTCCTTAACCTGGTGATGGATATCAAATACAGCAAATGCCTTTCTCAACAGTGAAACATTAGAAGCTTTCCCTTTAAAATCAGGGCAAAGCCATGGCTTCCAGCTAAGCAATAGACAGGGATATAAGGTGAACATTTGTATCAGGTAGGTAAACTCCTTAGAACAATCAATCATGGGGAATGAGAAGGGCAGTATATGTGCAGGGGGATAGCTCAGAGGGCAGGAACAAACAGGCAAGAAGGACACAGGGACAGGGTGAACACAGGGAAGGAGTGGGAAGAAAGCTGTTACATAATGGGGATCTGAGTCAACGTCATGAAACAAAATGTGTATGAACCGTTGAATGGAAAACGAATTTGCTCTGTAAACTTTCACACACAACACAATTAAAAGTAAAAAAAATTAGGCTAAGGCAAGGGTGCCTGTAACCACCACTTCTATCCATCTTTATACTAGATGCTCTAGCCAGTAAATAAGAGAGAAAGAAAGCAAGGAGAAAGAAAGAAGGAAAAAAACATGTAAAGTCTACACAGAAGCAAAAAAACAACCAGAAAAAACAATTCTTAAAAACAATACTATTTTAAAAACCAAAAAAAAAAAAATATTCTATTTCTATATTGGGAGATTGAAGTTTGATTCCCAGGCAACGCACCTCATGCACAGTCACTACCCACCTGTCAGTGGAGGCTTGTGTATTATGACAGTAAACAGATTTCAGCAGAGCTTCTAGACTAAGACAAAGTAGGAAGAAAGGCCTGGTGATCTATGTCTGAGAACCAGCTAAGGAAAATCCTATGGATCACAATGGTCCAATCTGCAAGCAATCACGAGGATGGTACAGGACCAGGCAGTGTTTCTTTCCACTGTGCACGGGCCGCCACGGGCCGGGACGAACTCCATGGCAGCTAACAAGAGCATTTCTATAGCTACCCAAAGCATTAATCTAACAGAAAGTACATATGACAAGCAAGGAGATAATGATAAAATGTCACTTAAAGTCATTAAAGAAGATCTAAATAGCTGAAGAGGTAACTCATTGTTACCTTTTATGTATGCCCATCTGCAAGTGTGTTTATATGTGTACACAATATATTTGTGTGAACACATACACATTTACACACATATTTATACACACATAGAACAAGGTCTAGGAGTGAAAACAGCAAAATGTTTCTTACCTTCAAGTAGTGGGATTATAGGAGACTTTTCTTTCTGGATGTTTTTGTATTTTCTAATTTTTCAATTGTGTATTTACATTCTTGTGTAAATAAATAATAACTTTTGTTTTGTTTTAAGTTACACATCTTTACCTTCTTCATCAAGGCTGCTGAAACTCTGCCCTTCAGTTAGCAAATCGTGCTTCTCATCCTTCCATTCCTGGCTGATGGAGGACACTATCTCCTGGGAGGCCGCCTTCAGAGCGGCAATGGAATTGCACCGTTTCTTAGAGGGTGAGGCCTTCACAGCTGGACAAGAAGGATAAAGAAGAGACAAAGAATGTTACTATAAAACCATATTCATCTTTTCTTTTTCATTTCTTTTGGTGAAAATATAGTCATGTACCATTTCAACAACTTCTACAATTCAGTGGCATTGATCACTTTTATTAAGCTGTCCAAATGTTCTTACCATCTTTCTCCAGATTTTTCCACCACCACTGACATAGGAGCTCTGGTAGCATAGTGGCTGAGGCATTTGACTGCTAACCAGAAGGCTGGCGGTTCAAACCTACCAGCCACTTCTCGGAAGGAAGATGGGGTAATCTACTTCCGCAGTGATACTGCCTAGGAAACCCAAGGAGGGGTCGCTATGAGTCGGGTCCGACTTGACGCCATATAACAACAACAACAACACTGACATAACTTCATTGCCCCTTAAGCTTCTCATCTAACCCTCTGATTTAAGATATTCTATTGTTTGGTTCAAGGAAGACTTCAGGGGATCTTCTGTTTTGGTTTAAATTTTAAAGATTATCTCAGGGCAATAGTTTCAGGGGTTCATCAAGACTCGATGGCCCCAGAAAGTCTGGATTCCATTGAAAATTTGAAAATATCTTCTGTATTTTCCCCCTTTGACCAGGATTTTTCTATAGAATCTTTGATCAAAGAAATCAGTCCATTTCATATTTTACTGGTTAAATTAATATCTTCATTATTATTTTTATTATTAACATCTTCATCAATTTCTGAATAGAATTCAAGAAGCTTTATTTTCTATATCGTTGTTGTTGTTTGCCATCGAGTCAGCCCCAACTCATAGCGACCCCTCCTTGGGTTTCCGAGGCAGTATCACTACGGAAGTAGGAATGCCCAACCTTCCTTCCGAGGAGTGGCTGGTGGGTTTGAACCACCAGCCTTCTGGTTAGCAGTCAAGTGCGTTAGCCACTATGCTACCAGAGCTCCCATTTATATATGAGGGGAAAAAAGGCCAGTACAAACTGCCACCAAGTTGACCTCAACTCATGGCAACTTCACATTTGCCAGAGTAAAACTGTGCCTCAGAGCTTCCAGTGGCTTATTTTTCAGAAGTAGACTGCCAGCCCTTTCTTAAAGGACCTCTGGGTGGACTGGAGCCTCCAACTTTTCATTTAGTAGCTGATAGCTTAATCATTTGCATTACCTAGGGTCACTATATAAGAGGAAAAGGAGATAAAATTATCTGTGTTTTAGTCATTTTATTTGTCCAAAATGACTTGACTTTTGTCAGACTAGCTCAGAATAAATTAGGGGAGCCATGCCTATGCAGATTTTGAAATAAAGTCTTATTTGAAGTGAAATGCAAATGTTCTGTTGCTGAAGAACTGCTTTTCTTCCTGCAGACAATGTTTTTTTAAGGCTGGGAAGAGGGCGATAAGTTAGTAAACTCGGATGGTAGAATATGGAGAATTCTCATGACCCTGAGTTTTATTAACTTGGGACTGGGGATTTCAAAACACGCCAATGTTTAATCTTAGATGCACGTTGCTCAATTTAGCCAAGCTACTTCTGGTTGCTTTTTCTCTCAGCAACTTTCCACCGAAATTTCCAGCTCTTTGGGTCTTTTCCAGGTCTCGGTTATGTCAGATGTCTAATTCACTACTGATCACAGTCCCAAAGCCTTCTACGACACTCAGAAATGTGCTAGGAAATGCAAGCATTGCAAATGAATTTGACCATGCATCACATTTGCTGAAGGCTGTGATTTTACTACTGGAAGATCAGAGGACACTGCTCAAGTGTAGCTGAACCATCCCATTTATATTCATCCTTCATTGCAATAACTTTTGGGCCTCCTGGTGTTAGAGGATCTCCATGGAGGGCAGGGGGAAAGGGGAGGTGAGGCCTGTTTATGCTTTCCCTTGAACTTGTTTTTGGCAGCATTTTTCCACCCTGAGAGGTTTGTAGAAAGGGGAAGAGGACAGCAGAGGCGTTAGAGTACTTGTGTTTATTCTTGGGAACCACAGAGCTTAGATTATACTGTTTACCTGGGGCCCTTTTCATCAGCAGCTTATGAGGATTTAACTGGAGAAGGACTTTGGGACCCACAGATGAAGGAAGAATAGAGAGTGATTTCTCAGCTCAAAGAGAAGGGACAGTTTATGTGTCCCCCAAGTAGTTTTCTAATAATAATATAATCCTGATAATAAATAAAGGAGCCTTAGAGAGCTCTGGTAGCGTAGTGCCTAAGGCACTTGACTGCTAACCAGAAGGCTGGTGGTTCAAACCCATCAGCCACTCCTAGGAAGGAAGATTGGGCAATCTACTTCCGTAGTGATACCTCCTCGGAAACCCAAGGAAGTATCGCTATGAGTTGGGTCCAACTTGAAGGCACATAACAACAACAGTGGCACAATGGTTAAGCACTTCACTGCTAACCAAAAGGTTGGTGATTTGAAGCCCCAGTGGCTCTGCAGGAACAAAGACCTGGCTCACACATGACAGCCTAGAAGCCCTATGGGGCAGTTCTACTCTGTCACATAGGGTCATGATGAATTGGAATTGAATGAGAATGGCACCTACAAACAACAAAAATAAGTAACTTTTGTAGTGGGTTTTAGAGTTTGCAAGCCAAAATTCATGTTCATTCCAGTTGCCGCCACATCCACTCTGACTATGGGGTGAGTCAGAGTGGAACTGTCCTGCATAGGGTTTTCAGTGGCTGGGTTTTGGAAAGCAGATCTCCAAGCCTTTCCTCCCAAGGCACCTCTGGGTGGACTTGAACTGCCAACCTTTTGATCAGCAGCCAAACACATTAACTGTTTGCCTTCCACCCCCGAGGCCTCTTCACGTTCCATAGCTCAAATTGTCTATATGATCATCTGAGGGAGGGATACCCTTCTAAGTCAAGAGATGGAGTGTTACAAAAGGACAAATATTGTATTAGTCCGTTATTATAAAAGTTAAGGAAAGGTTTATCTATTGGAGTAAATTTTCTTTGTTGGTTACCAGGGGTGGGAGGGGAGGGGAGGGAACACTGTTAGTTACATAGAGATAAATATTGATTTGGGTGAAGAGAAGGGCAATGTACCAAATGTAAGTGACCAATATGGCAGCATTGAGGATGAGAAAGACATAGAGAGGTACATGGG